TATTCTACAATAAAAGTCATTGCTGCCTACAACAAATAGCCAAACAAAATCCAAAATAATTGGGCCCAGCATAATCAGAAATTAGCTCGTCATCCAAACTAAATTTCTAATTGTCTAACAGAAACATATCCAATAATAGAACCAACAGGTTTCCAACTTACAGCCAGCTATTTTCAATTGTAATTCTCTAACAGAAATAACTAACAGTGTCAGCTCAATAACAGAATTCAACTAACTTCACATCCCATCCTAACTTAATCTAACAGATTCTTCCAACAAACTCTAACCGAATGAACGATATAACAGAAAGAGAGGGAGGGATTCACATTCATCATTCAAATCTAAAGAACAAAAAAAAACATGCTTCAATTCTATAGAAGTATCACTCTCCAAAACTCTCTCTTCTTCGGATCCCAACCTCCATCTTAACCAAACCTTCAGTCTCTCTTCTCCCTCTACAACTCTCATGCACTATTCACCATAACTGCATCTTCATCTTCTACTTCAGTCATCTCTAAGCTTCTACACAGCTTCATATGTAATCATCATCTCCACTCCCACACACGCACACTTCAAGCATCGCTACGGCAACTTCAGCTTCGATTTCCATCATTTTTGTATTGTAAACGCAACAGAAATAGCACCGTGACGCATCGAAGCAACATTCAACAAATAATGCATTCAGAATATCATACAGAAGAAGAACAAAAAAGAGAAAGCAAAGATGTAGTAGAAGAAGATAGAACCGAAGAGATAAAGAGTGCATACCTGAATCACGGTTGAAGCACCGTCGGAGTGACTCCGACGTGTAAGTATTTATTCTCCCTTCAATCATCTTGTATGAGCATCTGATATTTGATCCGCTTTCGTCCAGATCGAAATAAAATCACGAATCAAAGTTGGTTGATGCATCGGAGATGACAAACTAAGATGGAGATATAGTCAGAGGAAGGTGAATTGATCTGAGACAAGTGGGAAGAGAGAGCGAGACGGTTGTATCGAAGTTCATCACAGAAGCATTTATGCGAAGATGATGATACGGGGAATCAGCGAATGAAGATTTGAATGGCGGGAGAAGATCGAGATTATGAGGTGTTGATGAACTGAATCATTGAATTGGAGAAGAAGGACAGAAGTTATGGTCGTCACAGTTTGCAAGAAGAGGAATCAAGGAGGAGTTCGATCGAGAAAGGAAGCATGTTTAAGGTTGAGAGTTAGACGGAGATCGCAGATTGAATGAGAAAAGAAGGTTCATCAGAGGCGGAATGAAGGTTGTTGTACCGCCGTAAAGGTTAAAGCGAAAGAGAGATGAAGAACTCTTTGTTTCACTATTGAAGTCTAACGGCCATGAACCCTAATCTCCATGTACCAAAATGCATAGTTTTGTTTTATTCTATCATTTTATTTTGTTATTTTATTTTGTTATTTTATTTTTCTATAATAATAATATAATGTTGAATTTGGATTAGAAATCGGCTGAGTTGTGTTGTTATGGATTCAAGTGATGGCATTGGGCTCACGGTACCTAGGCCCAACGTTTTACCATGTATACCACTTATGAAACCCACGCACCCTTTTATTTTTTGGCCTTGCTAAAGCTAAACAAAAACAAGTTCATGGACCTCACTCTGATGGGCCTAGCGCCTGGTGTTTACTACTACAGCACCACACCTGTTTCCAGACTCACACCCTCCTGTGTAGTTTTTTTAGATTTTTTCTCTTCATAATTGTTAGATGATAATTTTGTTAGTAAAAAATATTGATGTAACAAAAACATTAAAAAAAATATTAGATTTTAGGAGATATTTTTGGGAATTAAATCGGGATTATTTGATTACATGAGATTTGTAATTCACCTTTTCTTGTTTAGATCTGAGTCTTATGCAGGTTTATTATGTGATATGCGGATATACTTGAATTCCCAATTGTGATTTATTTTCACATTGATGATGCTTTGACGCTTATTCTGAGCATTCAATTTCAGACTCTTCTCTGTTGCTTGGTGAAGCTAACTCAAAGTTTTCCAGGTTTCTCTGCTTTGCTTGCTGCGCCACGAACTTTTGTTTGTTTTGTATTTTCTCTTGATTATTTGATTTCGCACTTTACTACTTTCTAAACATCATGAGAAATAGGTACTTTAATGCTTTTTAGATATCATGAGAAGTAGGAAATAAAGAGTGTGCGCTCAAAGTCGCTGTTTAAAGTCTTGTGGCAGGAACCGCTTTTTATATGCTAATTGTGGTTGTTTAAAATCCTACCTTTGAAGTAGGTATTCTGCATGTGTGTTTACATTTGTGCCCGCATTATATTACAGGTGATAAGTCCTCAAAAGGAGGAAAGCAGGGAGGGTCCGTATCGATCCCCGCACATTCTAGTCTGTGTCATCCTTAGCTCACATTGTACGTCGATACTTCGGAGTCATGCAGATCATGTGTATCGAGTTGGTCATGTGGGGAAGGGTTTTGCAATCAAACCCCCACGCTTTGTCAGGAGTTCACATTGGCCGATGCTGACACTCAGTGATCGTTCATATTGTCTTCTGTTGCCTACCTCGATCTTCAATTTCTTGGTTATGTGTTTAGTCGCTTTGGACGTCACATCTTTTTTTTATTTCATCAGTCCCCCACTTGTGTGCTTCGGGTGATACGCTCCCCATAGCTAAAGCATTTCTCTTATTTTCCCCCATCGCTTGATTCAGTATACCCTGATTGTGTACTTTTGCCAAACCACTTATTTGTATATACCATGTTCCCTTAGAATAGGAATTCGTATACTTCCCTTAAGATCACTCGATTAGAGTAGTTTTCGAGCTAGACATTAGGATAGGTATCCATGCATGCTAGCATAGGATAAAAATTTCCCTTTTAAAACTTAACCTTAGGGTAAATCATTGCATGACAACATTAGGGATAGATCTAGGTTAGTATCCCTTAGATGTTTTTCTTTCTTTTGCACCCTTGCATTAAGACTAAAACTCTTTTTCTTGAAAAAAGTATAAAACATCTAACAACTTTCAAATCCTTCTTTAAGGTAAAAGATATCAACCAATACAAACTTTTTGCGCTTTCGGCCTTCTCTTCCAAACTTTTTCAAAAGAACATTTTAATTCACTTTTGTGCTGACGTGTGACTCTCCAAGGGTCGAGCTGCGGCAGAAGGCGAAATTAATATTGTTCATTAAAAATACAAACCAACAAAAAACTTTTGAGCTGAACTACGACTACTCTGATTCCTTAAAAGGGATATGTAGGCATTGAGGTAGGGCCTGAACGAGCACAACTTTTTATTTTCCCTACAGTATTTTCTCTTTTTTCTTTTGCATGCATTCCCTGTACAGCTTAGATTTAGATTCTTACACACCCTTTAATTAGAACAAAAAGAGTGGATACCATAGAGTACTACGGGTGTGTAGGGTGCTAATACCTTCCAGTCGCGTAACAGACTCCCTTATCCATATCTCTTGGTTGCAAGACCCTGATTTCACCCCTTCAGGTTTTCTCAATGTTTACATTTCCCTTCCTGTGGGATAAAAAAATGTTCAATGGCGACTTCATTGATTCCATTATCAGTTGATTGTTCAGCCAGTTGTTTCAAAGGTGTTAGCACCACACACGGCTGTGGTACTCCACAGGATCCACTCTTGTTGTTTAGCTAAAGGGTGTGTAAGAATCTATATCTAAGCTGTGTGGGGAAAAGAAATAAGTTTTACAAATTGTGCTTGATTAAGCCCCATGAAATCCTCAGCATACATATCCCTTTTAAGGAATCAAAGCAGCCGTAGTTTGGCTTAATAGTTTTGGTAGGTTTGTATTTTTTATGGAACAACGTCAATTTTGCATTCTACCTGCAGCTCGACCTTTAGAGACTCACGCATCTGGAGTAGAAAGAAATTAATATGCTCAAAAAGTGCCCGGAGGCGGATAATGCTATAATCATAACTCGTAGTAAGTAGACATAGTGCAACCCGACCCTTGGAGAATTATGCATCGTATTGCATAGAGCAGAAAACAACACATCCAGTTTTAAATTGAAAAGCCAAAAGGCAAGAAAGAGAAATTTGGTTTTTTTTTATCTTTTACCTTTACGAAAGGATTTTGAGTTTATTAGAGGCTTTTAAAGATTTTCCAAGAAAGAGTGTATTTTATGCACATGAAAAGTGGGGAAAAAAGGAAGAGTCTACGGGGGACTAACCTATTTTTTAAGCCTAGAGTTATCATGCAAAGATTGCCTGAGGGTTCATACAAAAGTTTTCTAGGAACCAACTCATCCGAGAAAGAACCATCCTAGTTGCTATTCGGAATAAACTCGTCATCGAGAGTAAACCACAAGTCTTAAGGGAGCATGGAAAATGGAATAAAGCAAGTACAAAAGGTACACAGACATATGTGCGTAGGAAAAATCAACAAAGGGAACAAACTCATCCTCAAGAGTGAACCATGGCAAATAATATCTAAGTATTTCTTTACTTTTTATGCTTGTGCAACAAGTAAAATAAAGGGGGAACAAACTCATCATCAAGAGTGAACTGAACCAAGCCTCAAAAGAACATCCCATCCGGGTATGAACCAGGCGCACAACATTATTATTTCTTTCTTTATATTTTTGACATAATTGTAAATGACAAAAAGTAATGTAAATTGAATCCACTTGGAACAAACTCATCATCGAGAATGAATCCAAGACCAAGTATCAAACTCATCATCGAGAACGACACAACAACATGCGAGAAAATAAACACACGTGCAGAATTTCCTATTTAAAGATAGGGCTTTAAATAACCACAATTATCATACAAAAAGTGGTTCCTGCTACAGGACTTTAAACAGCGAGTTCGAGCGCACACTCTTTATTTCCTACTTCTCATGATATCTAGAAAGCGATAAATACCCCTACTACACATGATCTCTAGAAAGCAGTAAATGTAATATTACAATAAATGGCCCAAACCATACCAAATAGATAATAAGAATCCTTAAAGCAAAATCAACGAGTGTAAGAAACTCAGAAGGCGCCGTAAGCTAGCATCAACAACAAATAGCATCAGAAGCATGAAAAACAGGTGCAAGCAAAGCATATCCATCACCAAAGTGATTGATATCTAAATTGGCTTCTAAAAGTATGCACATCTCACAAAACTTATTAGTAAATAACAACAAAATCAAATACAATAATAGCAATTAGCAATAGGTATCAAAAACGAAACATGAATATGTGTAAGGCAAGGCAAACAAGTCAAAGGAGCATAACATAGTATTTTTGGGCAGCAACTTTAAACTCATGAAAATGAGTGCGAAAACCGGTTTAGAAACATCCAAACTTGCTATCGGTATCAAAAAATGCTCAATTAAGTACACCAATGTATTATTCACAAGCCAAAACTCAATGTACATATAAAATACAAGTTCCAGACAGCACTATGCGCGTTTTAATATTTATCATGAATCGATTTAGAAATTAAAGTTTTAGTGCATTAACATTGAATATTAACATGAGATAGTTATCCGCAACTTGCACATGAACATGTCACCTCAAGATTGATCTAAAAATCAAGCATTAAAGTCCTAAAACCACATGAATTGAATGTATCGAAATTTAACCAACAAATTACAAATTAACTCCAATTCATGAGTTTATGTATTTATGTCAAAAATGTGATGAATAGGAATCAACTCACAACTTGTGAAACTCAAAGGTTATGAATCAAAATGTATTCTAATACACTAAATTCAAAAAGTTCTCAAACAATTAATTGAAACCAATTGATATTACTTGACATCAAAGTATGAACCAACACACAAAAATGGATCATAAGTAAAAATGAAACATAAGATAATGTAAAAAACTTGAAACGGAAAGTTAGAAACTAATAGAAAAGTGTCCGGAATTAACCGCAAAAACTAACTCGGTTCGGCCAAATTTCATTTCGAAGCATGATTTTTGAAACTGCTACAGTAGCATAAAAATGGAGCGAAATTTGTCTGAATCAAAAAAGTACTCATGCTAAGGAGTTCCGAATGGATCAAGAAACTCGATTTTTATTAAGGAAAGTCAGAAAAACTCATCATGGATCAAAAGTTAGAGCAAAAACAACAATTATGTCAAACTTTGTCATTTTTCAAGTTTTGAGGTATTTTCCACGAAACTCAATTAAACTTATTTAAAATGTATTTTGAAATGATATTTGAGCTTATTAGAACTTGCCTTAACTCATGAAAATGACAGACAACAAGTATCCACAAAGAAATAGCAAAAAAAAGTAGTTTATGTTACAAAACTAGTAACTTGAAATTATGTACAAAAATGCATTTCAAATGCACCAAAAATCATAACCAAAACATTGAAGTTTCTTAACATTAACACATTAAAGAAACTATTAGTATCCAATTTTCTAACTCATGAGTTTATGTCATCATTTTGGATCAATTTGCAAGTTCAAGAATTCACCACAAACTCATGAATTAAACTATTTGATGCCAATTTTTCTCAACATTTTGATATCAAGAAACTTGAAAAATCAAAGAATTAGCATTAAACTAAACTAATGTTAGTTTACATTCAAACTTTAACCAATAATTAGTACCTAAACTAACCTAAAAGTTAGTGTGCACTAAATTCTACATCTAGTCAATCCTAAGTTCAAGAATTAATCCAAATCCTAAATCAAAACACAACTCTAGGTTCCTATGTGGAATTAAAGTAAACACCTAGTATGCACAAGTTGCACTAAGTTTCTACATCACAATATAAATTCAAAAACCTAATCAATTCCTAAATTCAATTTTAGAATTAAATCTAAACTATGTTAATCAAACTCTAATTATGAACAATTCACCAAAATCAAACTACAAAATTCAAGAATCAATAGAATTAGTGATTACCTCTTGAAGCTCTTGAAGAATATAAAGAGGAAAGGAATATGATCAGGCTGACCGGAGAGAGGATAATCTTCATAGCATGCAAGGGAGGGAGAGGCACACGAACGGGGCGTGCAGGAGAGGAAGAACGCGTGAATGGTGCGCGAAGATGGAGGGAGTATGGCGTGTGGAGGAGAGAAGAGAAACGGAGGGAGCTGGTGGCGGTTATCGACGGAGGGTGCGGCGGCGGTAGGCTGGCCAGAGCTTGAGCAGGGAGGAAGGAGGTTGATCGTGGTGGTTGGGGGTTTTGGTCTTGAGAGAAGAGAGAATTATGAGAGAGAAAGTGGAATTTGAAAAAAATGAGAACTCCCTTTGCAATTGTGTGCAATATATATATATATATATATATATATATATATATATATATATATATATATATATATATATATATATATATATATATTAAATGTGAAAATAAACGAATTTTCAGCTTATCCGCAGCTTAAGTGAAAATTACACTATGATCCGCGAAAATTCTCGAACACTAACCTCTTGAGAAATTGTCCGCCTCTGAGTCATAGACGTCACCCAAAAAGAACGGATGTTTTCTTATAAAATTTTAATGAGTTCGATACGTTTAAGCAGCGAGACGTCACTGTCAAAAATTAATTAAGTCAAAATATCAGCTTATTTGACCTCTATTACTCGAACAAGCCACAATCTCATGCCCGAAAAATTAAAATCTCGTCTGAACTTTTCCAGAAGAAATATAGATCTCTACGTCCCTAACATCGTCTCAAAAAATGAGAATCGTCTGATAAACGATGAATTTGTTATGAATTTTTCAATAATGCGACGTTTAGTCTTTTTCACATATCTAAAAACTCTATTTTGCGAAATAAACCAAAAAACAGAGGTCCTCGAGCTACCGTTTGCTTTTAAGATATGAATAAAATTTGAAGTAGACAAAATTTTTGATCCAACGCTTCTAGAATCGACGCGATGCGGTAAGAATTGAGCGAGTTATGAACTTTTGAATATTGTAAGTCAACGTGACAGATTCCAGATTCTGCTCAATTATTTTTCAGGAACTCGAAATTCCCACCATTTTTCATGTAGAATCAGCTCTTAGTCATAAAAGATAGCGTCAAGATAACATCGAGACGGAATTTGGGCACCAAAATAGCGCTTATACGGCATTTCAGCTGGGAGTTATGAATTTTTTTAAAGTGCCTGAAACAGCGGTTCAGCCAACTTTTACCAGTATTTTGCACTATTTAAACTCTGACAGATTTGCATATTCGGATACCATCCCTCTAGAATTAGCCTTCGGCTCAAATACGGAAGTTAAGGAGAATATGGAGGAAGATTTAATGGCAAAAGAACTACCTCGAGGCGGTAGGCCAAATCGGAGTTATAAATTTCTGAATACCAGAAATACCGTTAATCGGTAACCAAACTCAGTAAAAAAATTATTTAACCATCTTAAATGCATAATTGGCTCTCGTCCCAAACACACAAAATTAAGGTAATGTCCATACAGACTCGGTGATAAAATATCAGCTCAAAATAATATTCTGGCTTGGAGTTAAAAAATTCTGAAGCTTGCCGCACCAAAATAGACTTTCAACCTGAACTGTCTCAAATCAGATGAAAACTCTGGCTCACATCTACCACTCGAGACATGATATAATACGTTGGAATTAGTAATGATAAAGAATTTTCATTCACTACCTGGGTGACTCGCATAAAGCTCTAAGTGCCTCCAATAAACAGTCGACCAGAAATGCCCTGATACCATAACACACGGCTACTGATATGCATATATGTATATGATAATGCAATATAAGCCAAAATAAAGTCAAAATGAAGAGGATAAATTTTGGGATACAACACCCTTACCTTAAGATTATTTCTAGAGATCAATTCCTCTTTGTGCTCTATCGGGATTCCTATGCTCTTCTTGCCTCTTTTGCCTAGACTTCTTTTCTTCACATCGTCTGTTCCAATTCCACGATCGCACAGAATGATCGTATAAAATCATAAACCTTCTCCTTATACCAAACTTTCCCTCTTAGACCCCTAATAATGAACTTCATGTCATGCCCTCACTTACCCTTCACTAATGACCACAATGTCCTTATTTTCTCTACATCACATTTATTATATTTATCTTAATTAAAATAATTCTAAATAATTACTTTAATTATTCTAAAAATACACAATTGGTCAATATTATCTAATTACCTCTATACTACTCATATTAACCCATCGCACATCATATTCATTAGATCATCACATTCAAACATCATATTTACATCAATCATCATGGTACGCTTCATATTCATCATAATTTCACAAATTACCATAAAGGCTCACATATAATCATCAAAACATATAACACTTCAGATTGACTCATGTAATTATGCTAAATTAATTAATTAAATAATTAATCTAGAATTCAGGGTGTTACAACTCTCCCCCCACTTAAAAGAATTTTCACCCTTGAAAATTTACCTGACAGAAACCACATCAGATAAGACTCTCCCATCTAATCCTCGTGTTCCCAAGTCCAACTTTCACCATCTAGTCCGCCCCATAATACCTTCACTAAGGTAATGTCTTTGTATTACAATTTCTTAACTTCCCAACCTTCTATTTGCAATGGTAATGCCTAAACAGTCAGGTTATCTCTAACAAGTACATCATCCATTTGAACACATGCGAAGGATCTGGAACATACTTTCTCAACTGAGACACATGAAACACGCCATGCATATTCGCAAGTGACGGTGGAAAATTAATCCTATAAGCCACCTTGCATATCTTTTCTGATATATGATACGGACCAACAAAGCACGACGTAAGTTTTCTCGACTTCAAAGCTCTACCTACACTAGTTACCAAAGTAACTCTCAATAACATATGATCATCTACTTGGAACTCAAGATCCTTTCTCCTCTTATCATGATAGCTCTTCTGACGACTCCTAGAAGACTTCATCTTCTCTAGGATCATATTTATCTTTCCTGTTGTCTCTTGTACAACCTCGGGTCCGAGTACAACACTTTCACCTAACTCATACCAACACAATGGAGTCCTACACCTCTTGCCATACAATGCTTCATATGGTATCATTCCAATACTAGAATAGAAACTATTATTATAATTAAATTCAATCAATGGAAAGTGACTATCCCAAGCTCCTCCTTTTTCTATCACACGAGCCCTCAATAAATCTTCTAAAGACTGAACAATTCTTTTCTTTTGTCCATCCGTCGGAGGATGATATGCGGAACTCAACTTCAACTTAGTAACAAAGGCATTCTGCAAACCTGTCCAAAATTTCGATGTAAACCTTTGATCTCTATCCGACACGATACTCAAGGGTATTCCATGTAATTTCACAATTTCTCCAATATACATCTCAACTAACTTCTCCATAGGATGATTGATCTTCATCGGTAAGAAATGAGTCGACTAAGTCAACCTATCCACAATCACCCAAATTGAATTATTAACTTTAACATTCTTCAGAAAACCCAACACAAAATCCATGGAAATATTATCTCACTTCCATTTCGCAATACTAAATGGTTGCATAAAACCCATAGGCTTCTGATATTAAACTTTCTACTTCTGACAAGTCAAAAAAGCATAAACAAACTTAGCGATCTTCTTCTTCATCCAGGCCACCAAAATAACTGCTTCAAGTCTCGATACATCTTCGTAGCATCAGGATGAATACTCAACACTTATATGTCTTTCATTAATGATACTCTTCTTAAGCTCTGGGATATCCGGAACACGCACTTTATTTCCAACCCTCATTACACCATTCTCATAAATTCTGAACTTATCTCCTTTTCCCTGGTTAATCAAAGTTAATTGATCGACTAACCTCAAATCAAACTTCTGACCTTCTCGGGTTTCTTCTATTATACCGCTAGTTAGTTTCAACATTCCTAACTTCACACTATTGGAAGTCTCTTCACACACTAAGCTCGTGTCTCTGAATTGCTCGATCATCTCCAACTCTCGAACCATAAGCATCGACATATGCAGTGACTTCCTACTTAATGCATCAACAACTACATTTTCCTTAAAGATAAGTACTTCAAACTCTTTTGATCACTCTTGTGATCACTGGACACTTCGAATTTAGAACCATAAAGATAATGTCTCTAAATCTTTAATACAAACACCTCTGTTGCTAATTCTAAGTCATGCGTAGGATAATTCCTTTTCATGAACTCTGAGTTATCCAGAAGCATAAGCAACCAGTTGTCCATTCTGCATTAGAACACCACCAAGTCCCATCTTAGACGCATCGCAATACACCACAAAAGACTCACTCGGATTAGGCAAAGTCAACACTGGAGCAGTCGTAAACCTCTTCTTTAATTCTACAAAATTTTCTTCGCACGTGACATCCCACACATAAGCTTGACCCTTTTGAGTCAAATGAGTTAACAGAAAGGCCAACTTAGAAAATCCTTCAATGAGCCTTCTATAGTAACCTGCCAAACCAGGAAAACTTTGAACATCGGTCACAAACTTTGGAGCCTCCCATTGCAATACATCACCAAGTTTAGAAGGATCCATAACAATCTCACCACTAGAAATCACATGACCAATATAACTAACTTCCTTTAGCCAAAATTCACACTTTGACAACTTTACATACAATTTCTTTTCCTTTAACAGTTGCAGCACCATCTGCAAATTCTCAGCATGCTCTTTTTCTAATTTAGAATAGATCAGAATATCATTAACGAACATCGCGACAAACTTATCCAAATATGAATCAAAAGTTACTCCATAAATACACTTGGTGCATTAGATACACCAAATGGCATCAAAGTGTATTCATAATGGTCATACCTCGTTCGAAAAGCTATCTTCGGAATATCATCTAGTTTAACTCGTATATGATTATAACCCGACCTCAAGTCAATCTTACTGAAAACACAAGCACCCACCAACTGATCCATCAAATCATCGATTCTAGGAAGTGGATAGATGTTCTTAATCGTTACTTTATTCAACTGCCTGTAATCTACACACAACCTCATGCTTCCATCTTTCTTCTTAACTAGCAACACTGGAGCACCCCACGGCAAAACACTTGGCCAAACTAACTTCTTCTCGAGCAACTCTTCCAGTTGTTTCTTCAAATCTCTCAGCTCTGAAGTTGACATTCTAGAAGGAGTCATTGACACCAAACTTGTACCAGCACTAATTCTATAGAAAACTCCACTTCTAGTTCAAGAGGTAAATTACTGATGTCATCTGAAAACACCTTTGGAAATTCGCATAAAACATGTAATTCTATATTCGCATCTTTACCATCCACTTGTAGTGATACTAACGTCGCAAACATTAAGGCTTCATCTTCTAAAAGTTCATTTACTTGTTTAGCAGCCAACAACATTGATTCTCCATTATCACCAAACTTAGGGAACCTCAAAGTCTTACTATAACTATTGGTATGAACATAGTTGAACTCCAACCAGTTCCTTCCAAGAATCACATTGATTTGGCGTAAGAGAAGACACATCAAATCCATCACAAAACTC